TCACCCTAATAATCACATTATCAGCCAAACACAAAAGAAATAAAAGGCTTGATGTCTGTTATATGAAGGCCACCTAACTTGGGTCCAGTGCATCCTAGGACTATTCTGGAGAAATTATTTTTGCTTAGGGTAAAGCAATTAATTTTCTACCATTCACTAGTAAAGCCTCAAAATATAGTAAAAAAAAAAAAAAAAAAAAAAAAAAGCTGATGAAACTCTTAACAAAAGTTTGACTTGGGTCAGTCATCTTAGGCGTTCCATAGAGAAGAAGAATCCTGCACTTAATGAATCCTGAGAACTGCCTCTGTGCCAGGCATGACACATGCAACTCTTTCCTCACTTAATCCTCATCTTAGGAGAAATATGTTTTACAATAAAGAAAGCTGAGGGTAGAAATTCTATAACAACTTGAACAAGCACGCACACTGCCAACACATAGTTCTCTTTGGTCACACCCCATCTTAACATGGAATGTACACCTTTTCCTTAACATTCAGGGTGGGTTCACAACTGTTTCCACATTCAGTCACCTACCTTTTGAACTGATATACATTTTGCTATCTTCAGAGAAAAATGTGTTTTATTAGAAAACCCATTGTATATAGATGTTGATTTTAATGAGAAATACATACATGTCAAAATGATTTACTCTTTCATAAAAACATGACTTTTAAAAATACTTGATGCTGAGACTTATGGGCAACATTTTGGCAGAGTGCAGGGAATCTTAGAAAAAAATGGGAAACAAAAAACAGTAAGATCTGGAGAGGACAGGAACTCCACAAGGAGAGCAACAGAACCAAAAAATCTGAGCACAGGGGTCTTTCCTGAGACTGATATTCCAACCAAGGACTATGCATGGAGATAACCTAAGACCCCTGCACAGATGTAGCCCATGGCAGTTCAGTATCCAAGTGGGTTCCATTGTAATAGGAACAAGGACTGTCTCTGACATGAACTGATTGGCCTGCTCTTTAATTACCTCCCCCTGAGGGGGAAGCAGCCTTACCAGGCCACAGAAGAAGACAATGCAGCCACTCCTGATGAGACCCAATTGACTAGGATCAGAAGGAAGGAAAAGAAGTCCTCCCCTATCAGTGGACTTGGGGAGGGGCTTGCATTCAGAGGGTGGAGGAAGGGAGAGATTGGGACGGGAGGAGGAGGGAACCATGGGGGGGGGGATACAAAGTGAATAAAGTGTAATTAATAAAGAAAAAAAAAGAATTGCAAAAGGAAAAGGCACCTTTTCAATGAAAAAAAAAACCAACAAAACTTGAGATTCTTCAAGCAAAACTGACAAATGCTACTCTCCACTTACACAGCTCTACTGAAGGCAAGCAAGACAAGACATTGGTAAAACAAGGATTTTGAAGTGGCTACATTAATTTTAGCTCTCTTTAGTTTTTAGTTGTACTATAAACCTAGGTATGCCAGATTACTGACCACTCTATTGAACCACTCTTGTTCTTGTTTGACACTTTCTTGTTGCCAAGACTGGACTTAAGCTATGAATTCAAGTGGTCCTTGTCCATCTCAGCCTCTTGTGTTGCTGGATCAAGGTGCCTTGTTAAAACTTAAATAAATAACACAATCCAATCTTTATGCTTACTTTTCAAATTGAATTTACTTGTGAACACTAGAAATGCTAATACTTGGGGAAAGGGCACTTACTCTCATTTGTGTACATTTTGTTCCTGAAAGTGGAGGTATTTTCTACTCTGTTCACTCATTTATTGCTTAAACCTAGAGAAGGTTGAAGACGCTTAATCTATTGGCAAGTTTGGGAAGAGTAAGCTGAAATATAGTTTTCTATCCAAACCCTGTTTATCTGGGGATGAAGTAGCATGCATGCTTGCAAGAACAGTGGAAAACAACAGAATCTTTGTTTTCTTCATCTAACATGTTTTCGGTCAACAACAGAAAATATGATGCTAATAACCGATGGTGCAAACCAAAATAAAAGTCCATGGAATATCAACTTTTAAAAGTGAGCCTTCAGTTACATTAGTTCACGACAAATGATAACTGACTCCGTCAGGTTACATTTCTAGTAATTTCAGCCTACAACATGAAGGAAATAAAATGAACCTGATATCGAGTAGCCGGTAGTAAGGCATACACTCAAGCTTAAAATCTCAACCACTTTCATTTGAAATTAATAGTAATTTAAAAAATTATATACATACTGCCAGTTGGATACACACAACAATTCAGTTCCTTCTCCATAATATATATATATATTATATATAATATTATATATATATATATATATATATATATATAAAAGTATATATATATACTTTTGTGGTTTTCTGTAAATGGTTGAAAAAGACAGGGAACTAAGCATTTTCTTGGCATTTAAAAGCATAAATGATAAACGAATATAATTTAAAAACCATCCTCACTGAAGCTGTTGGTTTTTAGCATGCATCCATATAACTGATCCATGAATCATTACTGGGTCATAAAATAAGAAAGCTCAATAAAGTAATTATAACTTCACATGTTTATTTTGTTCTAACACTCTAATGAGGGACCTTTGTACCAGACCATGCCTAGAAACAGAGGGGACTTTTTGCAGGTCTGAGTGCATGTGACTGTGCATGCAGGAGTGCAAACGCAGCCTTGTATTTTTTTAATTCAATGGACTTGCATATTAATGCCCTCGTGACATTTATAATGCTTGATGTCACAAATTTCCTTTAAAAAGCAGAAGTGATATTTACCGTCCTTTTAAAAGGTAATTCACTTAAGCCATGTTTTCTTAAAATAATGGGTATAACTTTTTATAGTCCTTGACTTCTTTCTTAACTTACTGTTAATATCGAGGAAACTCAAACTAAAATGAAAAGCTTGATTTGTATATGGACATCAAGCCTCCTTTGGAGTTAGATTTCTAACTTACAAAAAAAAAAAAAGTCTTATCATTTTCCAATCATTTTCCATTTTATGTAGATTAAGAACAGGACTCTAATATTTTTATTCAATATTCAATCTTCTCCAAATTATCTATAAAATTCAGAAATGGTCAAGGTCATAAATTTGCCCAAGCAAAAGTAATATATTCAAAATAGTTATGGTCAATAAAGATTTTCTTTCACAGCAAAGGAAATGTTTTACACATATAAGGCATCAGGTAAATGGCACTTCACCCATGAGAGCAGAGGCTTTAGTCTTCAGTTTAATGATGCATTTGCTGTTACACACAGGCAATGTCAGCTTCATTCCACAGTAGCCTTAACCTAGCCTGTAAGGGCAGGGGATTCCTTCTCTTACAAAGGATATTTTTCTGCTAGTAAGTTGATGCCCACACAAGATTCCTCTCATCTATGTCTACTCTTCTTTGCTGCCAGTTCCTTCTCTCTACAAAAATTCTCCCCTCCTCCCAGTCTTTACAAAATAAAATTGTCCTAGATCCTACTCTTTTCATAGCCATTAAACATTTTTTTCTTGAACTGAGTAACACCCATTTTAAAAGTTTATGCAAATTTTAGTAAATGTATTGTCTTGGTTAGAGTCGCTATCGATGCAATGAAATGCCATGAGCAAAAGCAAGTTGGGGAGAAAGCCAGCTTCTTTGGTGAATAATTCCATATCATTGTTCATCATCATCAAAGTAAATTGGGACAGGAACTCAAACAGGGTGGAATGTGGAGACAGGAGCTAATACAGAGGCCATGGGAGATGCTCCTTATTGTCTTGTTCTTCACGGCTTGCTCAGGCCAGGGCTGGCACCACCCACAATGGGCTGAGCCCTCCCCCATCAATTGCTAATAAAGAAAATGCCTTACAGCTGGATCTGCAGTCATTTTCTCAATCGAGCTTCCCCCCTTTCAGATAACTTCAGCTTGTGTCAAGTTGACATAAAATTAGACAGCACACATGCAGAGTAACCCATTTCCTTTTGGTACTTTGATTCTTACCAAATTTTGCCTGATCCACCCCTGTGCTGTTTTCTATCCCCACCCCCTATATGCTTCTGTTCCTTGTAACTCCTTCCGACATTCAGAACATGTGTGTTTATTACCTTCCATACTCTCCTTCTTTAGAGCCCATGCTGTCCCAGCATGAGTCACTTTCTACCCACATAACAACACATAAATAAAAGTTACAAGTAAGGTATCTTCTCTTTCCCATCTTCTTAATTCCAGTCTGCACCTGACACGTTAACTTTGTAAACATTTCCCTAGCATAGTTCATCAACTCTTCTTACTGTGCAGGTAGAAACAATGGAAGGATTAGCAGGACTCTAACAACTCTCTACTCTCAATTGAAAAAAGTCCTCTGTGAGAGAGGCTCATTGAAGCTCAGGGAGTAGGTGAATTTTACAGGACTCAGGATATACTCAAAACTCACAAGACACAGGAACCTCCTGAAAGATACACAATTCATAAAGGCTTTACTCGAAGTTAAAAAAATAGTAGCGATTACTGGAGAGAACCAGGTTGCTTGCAGGATGTGAAAACAATTCCAAAGAGGCAAGGTTTGTGAGTAATTTACCAGGTTGACAAAGTGGGCTTTACAATTCGATAGCTGCCTTTGAGGCTCCTACAACCTGGCAACTCCTCGCTCAGACTCGTGTAACTAACCTTAATATATATACACTGGCTCACACAGTTAGGCTTAGGTAGAATAATGGAAGACTTAACCATGTTTGGGGGAGTTTTTTGCCTTTTTTTGTTTTTGCAAATTTTTCATATACTTCAAAATTTAATATTCACATTTGCCTAGGTGGTTGTTGTTAATGTCGTATTTGAAGTGAATGAAGTTTTCTTCATGTATTCATCCAGGAAAGTCACAGAATATTATTCTGTTAGTAGAGGGTACGTTGCCCCTCATTTCTGCTCATTTCACAGCTGCTCCAGGCCCCTTTGCTTCCCTCATTGTTACATGTTCTATATACTAAAGAACACTGTGGTAGCTTTCACACTGGAATCTTAGCTGCCCACAGTAACTAAGGGAACCTGAAAGTTGAGTGGCATTCAGAGCTGTCTACTCACCAGCTTTGTGAACTCAGGCACCCACGTTTCTTCACGTCTCTGAAAACCAGTTTTCTCCTCTGTGAAAGGAAAGAATTGAGCTATGAGACTGACTCTCAAGTCCTACCACCCAGGGTCAGGAGGGGTAAGCCCGTGTGCTCTCTAACAAGAAGGGCTCTTCTCTCAAATGAGCAGTTCCTCCGGTCTCCCTCTGCTCCCACCGTTAAAACCCACATACGGTTTGAAGAAAAAAAAATTCTTAATGTTGAATACATGTGTGTGCGCATATGCATGTTTGAACAGGAGCAAGCACACACCATCGCATCACATCACAGTGTGAATATCCACACTGATGCCTGTGGAGGCCACAGGAGGAAGCCTTCCTTCTACTGATCTTCATCTTGTGTCCTGAGATGGACTCCCTTACTGAATTTGAATGTTGCCATTTCACCTACGCTGCCTGGTTATCAAAGTCCTGGAACCAACCTGCCATTACTCACTGGACCAATGCTGGAGTTGTTGGAACAGGAAGCCATGCCTGGCTATTTATGTGAGTGCTAGGGATTTAAACTCAGGTCCTCTTATCCACTAAGCCATTTCATCTTGTACTTTTTAAATCATAACATCTCAATAGTCTTCAATTTCCAATCTTATGCCTAACTTTGATGTCACACAAGTTCAAAACATAAAGAAGGAATGGGGGAAAGGGGAAGGAGGGGAGGAAACAAGGAAGATGGAACGAGTTTAGAGTATTCTTTTTGTGTGTGTATGAAGCAGTGATACCATCAACACCATGTAATATTGTCAACAGCTACAAAATACAGGTAGTACTGTGCTCATGTTCCATACAAGAAAATGAAACTGAGAAAATTCGACTGTCTTCAAATCAACCGCCAAGAAACTGAGAGCGCAAAATCTGTTTTCTTTTTAATCCCCCATAGCTTCCCTTGAGAGAAGCTAACAGGCCTCTTCTATCCTGTTCATTCTTTCCGTTTGTACCTGACCTAATCCTCGAAACTTGGAGAATGTACTACATCATTGTTCCTACTTGCCAATTAAAAAAAAAAAAAAAAAAAAAAAACAAGGTTCAGAGATGGGAAAAACGATCCTCAAGGCAAGTTAATTCAACAAGACGAGATGGAATTAAATACCTGGATTCACACTCTGTGCTCCTTTCTCCACTCCAAACTGCCTCCTCTCGAGGAAAGGAAGGGGAGCAATGAAATGTCAGAAGAAGCAGAGGTGGCAGGCAGCGTGGGGAAGGTGGGGGAATTCTCAGAAGCCCACGGCTTACTTCCGAGGGCTATTGAATCTAGTGAGATAAATTCTCGGAAAGTACCTTTAAAAAATGTGAACCACTCCAATATCAGCCATCATTATTAACCATTCAACAGCAGTAAAGACGACATCACATATCTTTATGCAGTTCCTCATGTGATTGGAAATACAAAAAAAAAAAAAAAATACAGTTAATTAATGGTTTAAGTGCCTTACAGAAACTAAAACAAAAGGAGGACAGCCAGACACTCTTAAGATCATGATATACAGTTGGTTACAGGGGCTGCCTTTCTCTCTATGATATACAGTCCCTACTGGCAGTGGAATAATTCAAATTTTCAATTTTTCTTGGATTTCATCATGAACTCAATCAAAAGTATGAAAGTCACTATTTTAATATCCTTGCACGTAGCGAAAAATAAATAGTATGCCCCACTACCTGAACCCTTCAAGCATTTTTTATTTTGATTGTCTTCATATTATACTGAGAGATTGTCAGGATTTTATCAGGAAGATCACCCAAACAAGCGAGAGCATTATTATGGTGCTTGCAGTGCTGTAAGTCATGGAACGGATGAGTGATTAAAAGCCATGGAGTTCTGACAAGGACCATAAGGAGATCAGACAAGAAGTTACATGGCTTAAAAAGAAGGAGAAAAGAAGAAAAAAAAGATCAGAATGATTTAACCCCTTGCCAACCTGTGTGGTGCAAGCACTGTAGCATTATTTGATTGATGTGTATGGGTCTCTGAGATTGGATTCCCTACAGCAAATAGCTTACAAAGAGCAAAATACAAGAAAACAGAGTTTATATACAGAAGGACAGTGTAGCTGTTCTCTTGACATTGGGCGGTAAGACAGTGCTATTTTACACCCTTAACACAGACACACGTACAGATATTAGCAAAGCACAGTCTGCTGTGTGGTTGTTCACTGAAAGTCGTTACACTTTCCCTAGTTTGCTGATTAATTTCAACTTATAAATCATTTCTATTACATTTAAGAGGCACAAAGCTTTCTTAAGTAATTTCTATTTGTTGGGCAAGTTATAAGGTGAGAAAAATTGACTCTTGAAGGAATGAAAGCTCTGGAGTGATAGAGAAGCAATGAAATGAATTTCTAAAATGAAGTGCATTTGAAAATAACACCCATGCCATACGGCCAAAGGAGATAGTAATTGTTTCAAGAAACAACCACAAAATATTAACTGAATTCTTATAAGCAAAGGAAAACAGTACTTAACGATACATATATTTTCTTTTTAGTAATTCTTAACGATCTAAATTTTATGAAAGTCTTTTGATGTTTTTACAATAAAAATAAAGTATTCATAAAACACATGTTTACACATACGTATATTTCTAGGACACACACACACACCTGTACTCATTTTGGGTAAAGTGCTGGAAATTTACCAAAGATGCTGCTTATGCCTTATTTGTATTAAAGTGTGTGTCTTTGGGGTGGGGGGTGCTTTATCAAAGAGCTACATTTCTCTCCCCATGGAATAAATTCTGTAAAACATAGTTGGGCAGCATCCTTTGAAATCTGTAGTGTGAGGCCACTAACTACGTATATGAGACAGGTAAGGCCTAAGAACAAAGCTAACACTTGATCTGGTTCTTGAAGATAGATCCGGATTTGCTAAATATAGAAGATACTACATGATCTCTAAAGACAGTGAGTGCATCATCTAAACTGTGAAGAGGTGAATGTTTGCTTTGATTTTTTTTGAGTCAGCATCTTGTTGGGTAGCACAGGCTTCTCCTAAACTTACAATCTTCTTGCCTCAACCCTTGAATACTAGGATTATATGTATGTACCACAATACCCAGTCAAGAGTAAGTTTTGAAGTATGTATTCTATAAACATTGAGTGTTGCATGGGGAAAGGAAGCTGAAAATTGGAGGTTCTGCAGGTTAGATAATTATGGAATAGAATCACAAAGCACTTAGATGTTACCTAAATTTAACGGAGTTTTATCCTCTAGTCAATGGAAGCCAGACAGAACTTAACACATGAAGCCTCTAAGCACAGGAACTCTCAATTTTTCCTCTTAACATAAGATGCTTCTGCCTCCAGGGTTTTGTATAACAAGGTTTTACTTAAAAGTAAAGTCTCTTGGTTAAAGAAAATGAAGTAAGGAAATTTGAAAGGCAAATTGAGTTGGATTTAAGAGAATCTTCCTCATTTAATGATGTTAAACCTGTAATCCCTGGTAGTTGGGAGGTTGGAGCAGGTGGATCATAGACTTAAAGTCTGCTTAGGCTACAAAAATAGTTCAAGGCTGGCTTGAGGATCACACAGAGATCACACTTCAAAATGAAAGTAAGAAGAAGCGTACAGATAGAGCTCAATGGCAGAGCGTTTAACCAGCACACAGGCCCTAGGCTCAATCCCACCATATTAATATGTATTGGTTTAAGGATTAGAAAGAAGGAAAATGTCAGGATAATCCAAGGAGAATTCATAAGGGGACATTAAGGAAAAGTAGATTTTAACAAACAAAGAACCCAAGAAATGGCTGGTTGTTGGGAATCAGGTGCCTCCAGAATGTTCAAAAACGAGTATGAATCACAGGTCTGACATTAAGGGAGAGACTGCTATCCTGTCTCCTATCACTTCCAGAGGAAGTGCAGCAGCCAGTGAATGAGTAACTTTTTCCATTTTAATAAGAGAAAATGCTTCAAGATTTTAAGACTGCCTCCCATAACCACCAAATAAGCAAACAAAACACCAGGTACAACAACAACACTCTAGCAACACCTTACACATTCCTTCCCTTAGAGATTGCATTATTGTCCCAATTATTCAGTTCCTGTGGGTGGATTCCTTACTCACACCCTGTGCTTTATTTCGAAGTGCCTTGGTGGTGGGTGGAGCAGATTTCCCCAGACCCAGCAGCTGCATTCACTAGCTGAATCGACGTGATCTAATGACTCCAATGACTTGGCATGCCTTCTTCTGCACCTGAGAATTTCCCCAAGCTTTTTCCTGCTCCTTCTGCCTGAGCTTAAATCTGACACCCAATCAGAGCTCTGCATCTGTGCTTTAATTTGAATCTGGAAGAGCCTATCCTCAAATTACCAGATTATAGCCCTGTGAGTATAAAGGGGAATAAAATACAGTAAAACACTAAAAGGTTTATGTCCACTAAAAAAGAAAGTGGCATTATTATAGTAATACTTGACTACTGTAGTTCTACTCAAATAAAATGTTTTTCTTATGACAGTAGCTTTCTGTAGAGCCACACCTACCTGTCTTAAACTCTTTATCAATGACAGGGAAATTATACTAAGAGGGAAGGGCTGCCTACCAATGACCAAGTTACCTGGGAACGTGAAAAGCACTTCCCTTTCAAATAGTTTCAACATAGAAATACAGTGCATTCTATGTTGCCTTAAAAAATCATTTTATTATGTGTACAATGCTCTGTCTGCACGTATGCCTGCAGGCCAGAAGAGGGCATCAGATCTGATTATAGATGGTTGTGAGCCAATATGTGGGAGCTGGGAATTGAACTCAGGACTTTAGGAAGAGCAGCCAGTGCTCTTAACCTTTGAGCTATCTCTCTAGCCCTTATGTAGCTTTTTTTTAATTCATAAAATCTACACAACCTAGGATATGCCAGTTGCAGCAGTTTATCAGAAAACCAACTTTCCTCTTTCAGTGTTGGTGAGAAGAACCAAAAGTAGTCCCTTTCTAAAGAGACAGCAGTACTCACTAATTTGTAGGAAAGATGCCATTGAATAGGATAGAACAGAAGTGGTCACAGAAATGCATATACAAACAAGGAATACTC